CATAACAGTGGGGAAAGTTTTTACCTTAAGCTAGAAACTTAGTATATACAACGTATTACAACCACTTGTATCTGTCAAATGTGAAGTAGTATTCAAACGCAATATTTCTCTTGAGGCCTTCTGTCCGGTGCCCAAATTTATTATGTGCTTCCTGCTCTCTCCCACTAATCAACATTGTAGATGCTTTAAAATTGATGTGTATATATTTTTTGATAGAATCCATTTTTAGCGTTATTTCTTATAAAAAGATTATGCAGAATTGTATGTCTATTTCAAGTACAAAAATAATTTGTAACACATTTATGAATTAAACTTTTATCCCAAAACTGTTGTACTTCCTTATCCAAAACCGGAATATAAATGACATTGGTGAGTTTTATTAATAGTATTTATATCCTGTTATAGCTGTCATTAATCCTGTCTTTCCTTACTTTTATTAAAGTCTAGTAATCATTATTACCATTATTAATATTTTATCATTATAATTATTATTACTATCATAAGTGTTGTTACTATTATAATTTTTCTTTTGAATATTGTTCTCACAAGTATCATTTTTATTGTTGCTAGTATAATTTTGTTATTTTCATTATCATTGTTATTATCATTATTGCTGTTATTACTATTATTGTTATAATTATTGTTATTGTCATTATTATTATTATTATCATCATTATTATTGTTGTCATTAATACTGTTTTTGTTACTATTATCACTTTCTATTTTTGTTATTTTGATGTCCTTACTATAACAACAATAACAATAGTAAAAGATATAATAATTGTAGGAGAATGATAATAAATACTATTACTATTATTGTTATTATTATAATCATGATTTTTTTTATTATTATTATTATTATTATTATTATTATTATTATATTATATTATTTATTATTATTATTATTATATTATTATTATTGTTATATTTGTTATTGTTATTATCATTGTTATTATAACTATTATATTATTTTTATCATTATTACTTTTATCATTTATTATTTGTTTATATCATTATCATTATTGTTATCATGATTATTATCATCATCACAGTCCTTATTATCATTATTATTATTATCATTATCACATTTTTTATTATCATATGAATAAACTTATCAGACAGATCTGCATTTCTTGCTGTATAAGCACGTCCATATATAGTATTTTAACAAACTGGCCGTATAACACAATTTAAAGAGAAAGTGATTAACAAACATATTTTATGAAAGAAGTGAAGATAGTGGTGTAAGGATTTTTTTTTCATGAAACTGAAGGAAAAAGAAATAGTAATAACACGATATAAAGGTGAGAAAGTGACCAATATTTTGTGAAAAACCGAAGAAGAAAGAAATGATAATAAGATATTGAGGGATAGAAATAAAAAGCAATGTATTTTATGCGATAATAAAGGAGTAAGAAATGATAAGAACCCGGAAAGAGAAGGAAGGAAAAGCTTAAAAATTTGTTTTCTTTATGAAAAACAGGAGAAAGAAATTGTATAACGCACGGATACGGCTTAACCAACAACAAAGTGTTTATGGAAGACTGAAAAAAAAGCTAATTAACAAATCTTAAAGGAAATCAAAACCATTCATTTTTATGAAAGAGGAAAGAAATAATAACACTATAATGGGGAAGAAATCAGCATCAACGTGCGATTGGTTTGGTAAAGTAAGCGACGGAGTTTTGTTGTTGTAAGCGACCATCAACACAAACCATGGCCGGCTCCACTCGGCTCAGTTTACTCGCCAAAAGTTTTAATTTATTGTCTGTTTCTCAGCCCCCATTGAGCCACGGTATGTTTTAATGGGAGGGAGAGTTTACTGACGTCAGCTTCTCGAGAAAAAATATTGTGTTTTTCAAAAGGGTTAATGTTTAAAGTGAATCTGTATGTTGGTCACTAATTGTATTGATGTTTCAGTATTTCGTTATTGTGTGTGATAAGGATGGTTTCAAATTTCATCGTAGAAAAGGTATACGCGTATGCTGTTATCACGTAGATAATAGTGGTGGTCTTATTAGAATTGGACAATATGTAGTACGAGGTAATAAAACATGAAATGATAGAAGGACACAAACCAAGACAAATTTTAGCAATCTTCTATGGCAATGTGGTAATTCTTTACAGTATGGACGCACTCCCCAGAGACTGTCCACAGCTCTACGTCAAAAATTATATTCATCAATCTAAGTTGTTGTGATGGTGTGCCCTTTGGGGACTACCCAAAGGTGGGATCCAGACTGTAGAGTTTGGTCTGCACGGGGAATTATTTGGTCCAATTCTGTCCGTGCCAAAGTAATTCTCGGGTAACTTTCTGCACACTCTTAGTCCTTTTTTAAATCATCTTCCGGGCATAAAATTCTTTTGACCTTTCCTCACACGTGTTTCATCATCCATCCGCAGATTCGTCCGCACAAATGTAGACAAAATGATGCTTTCCGTGCATGAAAAACAGAGCAAAGGCTTCCCATGGCCCAGTATGAAGATGTAAACTTATATTAGAGGCAATGAGGTTTGCCCCTCATCAAATAGCCCCACCAGTTCAAACTCTCTTGTCTCCCAGACCCCAGGCTCTCCTTTGACCACGACTCTGAACAGTACAACTACTACCCACTCCTCAATGCCTACTAGTGCATTATCCACCCAAGTCGAGACTCCTACTCGCCCAATTTCCTCAACTTCATCAACTCTACCCCACAGCCTTCTTCACCAATCACCTCATCTTCCCTTATTACTACCTTACATCCTTATTCTCCCATCTTTCTGTAATACTACCCCACTCAACAATACTCCCTCTTCCACACGTTGCCATCCTTCTACAGCCCACAACTCTACCAGTATCTTAAATACTCTATTTAGCCCAACCAAATGGGACCGATTTTTCATGATACCCCCTACAGCTCCTTACTCAGGCAACACTCTTCTCTTTCAACAATGTCTCCAAAAGCAAGTGGACAGAGGCCCCTTCCGTACCTGTCCCGATCGTCCCTTTCTTGTTACAGTTACATCTGAAACTGAAGCTATAGCATTATCAAATCTAACCGATTTCTCTGGCAACCCCATTCCTGCAGAACCTCATCCAACTCTTAATACTTTTACTGGAACTGTCTCTATCTCCCCAGCAATCTGCCCTATGGATATTGATTGGTCAGATTGTGGAGAGTACTTACTCGGCTGATTCAAAGACTGTGATGTGATATCAGTACAGTGCTACTCCATTCTTCCTAAAGGTCATCGAATGAAACCCACCAACATTGCCAAAATTACTTTCCGTACACATAACCTTCCCTTTTGTATCAACATTGGTGGACATTCCCTCCCTCTTCGACCATATCAACCTCTTCCCCGTCAATGTCAAACTGTTGGCGCTTTGGACATCCTGTCAAATATTGCCGTTCCACAGACCAATTCCCCCATATGTGCCCTATGTGTATCAAACTGCCCTGCAAACACATACATGTGCTAACTGTGGTGGCCCCCATAATTTATTTTATAGAGGCTGTCCCACTTACAAGTTTATGTCTGAGGTAGCAACTCTCAGATATAAAAATGGTTTCACACTACCTGAAGCCAGACAGGAAGCACGCTGACAAGGTTTCACTCCCTGCTCTCATAATGTCACTCGCTCTGCCCCTCCCTCTCCAACCCAGGATGTTCCTACACCTTCCCTATACCTACTTACTTCCCCACTTCCATTTCTACCTCTACCACCTCCTACCTTCCCCAGTCAAATTCTTTTGCCACGCTAAATGCCCGTTGTTGCGTTAGGGGCTTTAGAAGATGAAAACTGTGACCCAAGGCTGGGGATTACCCCTGCCTTGGGCCTCAGTCCTCAACTCATCTAATTTTGTTTGGTCTTTCCTTCCCAGGAGTCCACAAATGTCTCCATATGAGGCAAAATTCCTCTTAACCCGGGGCTTTGCCTCCAGACCCCTACCCAATTGGCATATTTCCCTACCGAGATATTTACTGCATGGTTTTCTTAGTTATTCTTGTGGGTTTGGTATTTAGTAAGATCTGATCTTTTTCAGGCATTGTGAGACAGTATGCAACAGCAGTCACCTTTGCCAGACCAAGCATTGCAGCAGTTCCTCTCTCAGCAAAGGAAATAGCGTTAGTCAGAGGCTGAATCAACCACACCTCCCTCAAGTGCAGCCAGCCAGGTCAACGAGCTTCTTCAACAAATGTAAGAGTTCAGTTATTAGACATTCAGACACTTACCCTTTTAAACTTTCTGTTGATTTGAGGATTGATGTCTTTCATACCATTTTGTATCTTATTTTGTTTTCTTATGCAGTCAAATTGTTTCAGTGCCGGCTGATCAGCTCTGGAAGGGTGTGACGAGTGTGAGCAATGCTGGCAAGAAGCGTGGTCGTGGCAAAGGCGTTGGCAAGAAAATGGCAAAAAATCTCAACCGAGGACAGATGATTGGCGTTGGTAAGGCATTACATTTTTTTTAAGGCATTATATTTTAAGCTGTCATTATATAAAGAAAGCATTTCATAGATATTTTGTTAGTGTCTAAGTCAAATTTTATGATGGAACTCTTCTTCAAATCAGGGCGTGAGAATATTGTTTGGCCTGGACTCAATGCCCCCATATTGCGAGGGAAGGAGTTGATACAGCAGCAGAAGCTCCCGCAAGATACAGAGAGAGAGGCAAAGCTCATCAAAATGAGAGACACCATGGGTGTGTTCCGCCCTTTGCGCCTAGATCCCCTGGAGAGAGGCTGGTCCGGCAACAAGATGCCCGGGAGGAGCATTGGCCCTCCTGACCCTATTGGGGAAGGTAACCTGTCAAGACAGTCTGTTTTCAAATGAATAAAAAAAAAAAAAAAAAAAAAAAAAATCATCATCTACCAGTAAATGAACTTTTTAGACATTCTTGCTTTCATCCATGGGCTCTTACTTGTTTGTTTGTTTGTTTAGCTTCTGTTATTGAACTGTCCTAGCTCCTTTATGTATTATTTGTTAGCAATACTTTTGTTTGGTTAGGTTCACAAAGAGTATATGCTTTAATTGCAGACAGCTTTGATGGGTTTGACACCAAAGTACTGGAACTGAAGACAGTGACCCACATGAGCGGCATCTTCGGGAGGAAAAGACGAATGAGTATGTTTGTCGTCACTGGCAACGGGAATGGCCTGGGAGGATTTGCTCTAGCCAAAGCCAACACCATGCCAGCCACCATGAGGAAGGCGAAGAACCGGGCGGGACAGAAACTGATCTACATTGAAAGATACAATGACCATACAGGTTGGTGCAACAATGTTTGTTAAGATTAATTTTGTTTGTTTGTTTGTTTGTTTTTTCAAATCTTTTTGATATAGAGGATAGTAATCAGACTAGTTACCTGTTATTATAGGGTTTGGTTGATTTATTATTATTAGTCTTTGAAGGATTGTACTTACCTCCTCGTTATTTACCTTTCCAGTTTTCCATGACTTCTTTAGCCAGTTTGGATACACAAAGCTCTTTGTCAAGAAGAAGCCTGAGGGCTATGGTCTGGTATGCCACCGTGCCATCCGTACCATCTGTGAGGTGATTGGCATCAAGGACATCTATGTCAAGGTGGAAGGCTCTACCAACATCCAGAACCTCACGAAGGCCTTCTTTCTCGGACTCATCAATCAGGTATAGTCATAGGGACTGTGAAGGGCAGTTCAAGTACCTTAGTGCCTTGATTATGTTTATGTGAGACAGTTTGCATGAGTCCTTGTCTATATTTGAGATAGTTTGAATGAGAGTACTTGAGTCTTCTATCTATCCCATAGCTCGTGATTATAGGTCTTTTGTAAAAGGAAAGAGAGTGATAAGGAAAATTGTCAAGATGAAAAAAATTATAGGAAAAAATTATTTTAAAAATCTGCATTTTTTCTCCTTTGTTGTCATTCCAGAAAACTCACCAGCATCTCAGCGAGGCCAAGCAGTTGCACCTTGTTGAGTTTCGTAAAGAGAACCTGGATTTCCCCGGGTTGTGGCTTCCCCCCAGAGTGGCAAGGTGCGCGACTTAGAAGAAATTCCCAAGGACGAGGAGCTTGACTTTGGCCTGGTTAGTGCTGGAAGAATATCATTGTTCCCATCAAGTTCTTTTGATGGGTGAAATAATAGGCTATGCTTGTCTGTCTCTGTTTATCTGAGTCTGTCTATTTGTCTCTCTCTCTCTCTCTCCCTCCCCCTCCTCCCTCACTCCCTCCCCCTCTCCTCCTCTCCCTCTCCCTCTCCTCTCCCTCTCCCTCTCCCTCTCCTCTCCCTCTCCCTCTCCTCTCCTCTCCCTCTCCTCTTCCTCCTTCTCTCTCCCCTATCTTCTTATCCCTTTCCCTTTTCCTCTCCCTCCTGCTCACCTGCACTCCAACCCTCCCTTACCCTCTCCTTCTCCTCCTCCTCTGCCTCCTTTTCCATTTCCTCCTTCCTCTTCCACTCCTTCTCCTTCTCTCACCTCCAGATCGCATTTTTGCAAAACCTATTTCAGCCAAGTGCTGGTAATTCCAACAACAACAACAACAACAGCAACAGCAACAGCTTTCCCTCTCTCGAACCCTCTTTTACGTCTCCCTCTCCCTATTTCTCTCTACCTCTTTTCATGCCTCCCTCTCCCTCTCTCACCTCCCTGATGTATAACACCTTGGAGATAGAAAAAAAAAAATCATTTAGGTTTCCTTTTGAAGGATCTGACAGTGTTGACAATTTAATATTACTAATGATAATAATAATAATAATAATGAGAAAATTTGGTTGATTACAGTACACAATGGATGGCAAGGTGGAACTTCAGAGGAAGAAGTACCCCCCTGGCTACCAGAGATTGCCCAGTTACAACACCTTCCTGAAGAAGTACTCAAAGCGTCGTAACCATGACAAGGTATGTGGGACTTACTGATTTTTCAGTTACCAACAATTGTTGTTCTTATCATCATCATCATCAATATTGTTATTATTATTAAAATTATTATTGTTATTATTATTATTGACATTATTATTTATTATTATTATTATTATTATTGTTGTTTTTATTATTGACATTATTATTATTATTTATTATTATTATTATTGTTGTTTTTATTATTGTTATTATTATTGTTGTTATTATTATTAGCAGTAGTAGTAGTATATTATTATTATAATTAATATTATTGTTATGATTATTATTATTGTTATTATTATTTTTGATATTATTATGATTATCAATGCTATTATTATTACTATTTTTTTAGACATTGATATCAATATTGATTTTATCAAGAATATGAATGTTGTTGTTATTATTTACTGATTATTACTATTATTATTATTATTTTAATTATTATTATTTTCATTGTTAATTGACTTTATTTACTATCTTTCTATTATTATTTGGTTATTATTGATGACTGTTATTTTTTATTATTATTAGAGTAATAGTAATAGTAACAGTAGTAGAAATTGTAATAGTAATATTAGTAGTAGTAGTAGTAATACTACTATTATTGTAGGTACTGCTATTTTAGTATTACTATCATTTTTCAATTATTATCGCCATTATTATATCATTAATACTATTATCATTATTGTTGTTATTATTGAATTATTATTATCAGTGCTGATGATAATATTATTTTTGTTGTTCTTGTGTTTGTTTTATCATTATCACTTTTTTTTTTTAAATAATGTTGATTTTATTAATTATGAATTCCTCCTCCTCCTCCTCCTCTTCTTCTTCTACTACTTCTTCCTCTTCCTCTCCTCCTTCCTCCTCCTCCTCCTCCTCCGCCTCCCCTCTCCTCCTCTCCTCCTCCTCCTCCTCCCCCTCCTCTCCTCCTCCTCCTCTCCTCCTCCTCTCCTCTCTCTCCTCCTCCTCCTCCTCCTCCTCCTCCTCTCTCTCCTCCTCCTCCTCCTCCTCCTCCTCCTCCTCTCCTCCTCCCCCTAAACCTAACCCTCCTTCCTCCTCTTCCTGCTCCTCCTCCGCCTCCTCCTCCTGCCTCCTCCTCCTCCTCCTCCTCCTCCTCCTCCCCTCCTCCTCTCCTCCTCCTCCTCCTCCTCCTCCTCCTCCTCCTCTCCTCCTCCTCCTTGCTGCTCCTCCTCCTCCTTCTCAACCTCCACCACCACCACTTATAATGATGGTAATAATGCTGATATTTGGAATGTGACACTAAAGATGACGAATTAAAGAGCACCCCGCCTCATACCACAACAATAAAAACAAAAACAACAACAACAACAACAATAAAGATACGACAGTAAGCGATGAAATACTAACAGTCCCCTCTATTTTGCATAGGTGATGGTGGACATGAGGGTGGAATACGGGGAGCTGCGAAGCTTTTACACCGAGAAGTACCCCGAATGCAAGCCAGGGCCAAAGAGGAGTGCCGAAGAAGCCATGTAAATAAGGGTAGATGGAGGGGGGGGGGGGTCGTGATGAACTGGGGTGTGGACGCCAGTTGTACATATTGTAATTTGAAGCGATGATGATATGGTCCTCGTGTTGCAGAATGGTTGATATATAATTGTACATTTTATTATTTTTGTTTCTTGTTCGATATCTAGAGATTAAAGAATAAAATAGGAAATACAGTTATTTGCCGGGTGTTGTTGTTATCCTTCCTAGATGATTGTGTCTTGTTTATCCCTTCTCTACAACCTTGAAAGTGTCATTTGAAGAATAAAAAGATAAATATTATTGATGATAAAAATAATTTTTTTAAAATGGATAATTACATGCATATTCGTAAAGTTATTTTTAATGGTTAAATTCAGTGTTATGAAATAGGAGCCATCCTCTAAATTGTGAGCATAGAACAGTTTCCCCTGAATTTCTAGTTCTGTGTGTACAACTGAAAGTTTCTTGAAAAGCTTAACTAATGAACTGTATTCATGTTGACAAATGTAGAAAGGTATGAATGAGAATGAATATCTTCACAATATAACAGATGTATTTGACCAGTTTTGAATATATCAACGTCAGAAATATATGTATTTCTGACAAAGATATATTCGAGACCGGTCAAATTCACATCTTTCTACAAGCTTAACTAAAGTTTTCCTACGTATTTTGAGCAGTTCTCCATGAACAAATACTCTGAGAAACCTTAACCAGTCCTTATGTAGCATCAACCATTGATGGCAAAACACTGGACCCCTTTACCTTAAGCCCCGACTTTGAAATTTAGCCTGGTTTCGAGGATCAAAATTAACAAGAAGGTATATACTTTTGTACTTTCAAAAATGCGCTAATGAGACGAAACATCCTTTATATATATAAAAATCCTTGAAGTGTTAGACATTTTTTCTACAAAATGAGGGTATAACCAACGTAACATACCCATGAGACAAAGAAAAGGAGAAACATTTGATAAGGTAAGGTTAAGTAAAGAAAAAGAGGGAAAAGGTTAAGTAAATGCTAGGGATAAGGGGGTAGGGAGACAGATACAGAGACAGACTCCGGAAAGCAAAGCATCCGTTTCCATATTACGTTTAAAAATGGCTTGAGATCCATTTTTCTTTTTGCTGAAGGTTCTATCATGAGACTGAAAGGGAATGAAAACCAGAATGTGACTTTATAGTTTTTTAATCATCGTTAATACAAGTGTCTTTTCCAAAATACAAGGTATGAGAGCTTTTACAGTCTGGATTTAGTATTTCTCAAAGTAAATATTGCGTGACAGATACTGACTGAGCTCCCAAAACAATCAGCGCTAATTTTATGCTGTGTAATTACTAATCCCGTGACTCTTTTATTTGTACATAGCTACGCAAATGTGTTGTATATTCATGCCTCCATTGAACATGGTCAGTATAGTTTTATACCACGCTACCACGCACACATATGGGAGGGTTATTTAAATTTGTATTTGCACTAATTACAATTATTTTTTTTACCAGTACGAGTACAAAGTGGAATAGAGTATTCTGCTTTTATTTCATGCCAAGGTCTATTCATTCAGTTACTTAATAAAGTATTGTATTATCTAAAAAAAAAAAAAAAAAAAAAATAAAAAAATAATAATAATAATAATAATAATAAAATGAAAATAAATAAATAAACCCTTGTTATAAGTTGCATATGGCCCCGCCTTCGCACCGTGAACAAACACGACAGTTTGATATGTATAAGTAAAATCTATTTTTTTGCATTTGGTCAGAAAAAAAAATGGCTCCGACATTGTCAGTTTAAGTATAAGCATCATATAACACGGAAAAAAAATAGGATTTAATCCAATCTATCACTATTAAACATCTGGGTAAATAAAACCACAACTAAATATACGTACAAAAGAATACGATTAGTTTATTATGTACTATACAGGTTTTTTATTTCTGAGGATTTATTTCCTATGATTTGTTTAAGTCTGTCATAAAATTAAGTCCGTTTTCTTTGAAAAGCCGAAGCTGCCATGCGAGAAACTAAAAGCCATCGTTTTATTTTCGTATTTTATGGGTATTTCTCACCGTATATTACTGTGTACAAACGATGGAAATTGTGTGCTTTCGAGTACCGTTTGGCTTTTCTTTTGTAACGACCGTGATTTGAATGTCGGTGCCATCGTGACAGCTAAAATTATGGTGGCTATCAAGAGCACTTTACTTCAACCGCCAAACTGCTCTCCACAACGGTTAAGAAACTAGGCGTTCCTAAATGATTGTTAATTAAATAATAAATAAATGTTCCTAAATCCTAAATAAATAAATAAATAAAATAAATTCTAAATAAATAAATAATAAACCATGCCAACCGGTATGCTTCGAATAATAATGCATCAGTGTCTTGTGCTGTTGTACACGTGACCTGTTTGGGATAGTAGACAATTCTTATTACTGTTCATAGCGCAAATAAGACGTGATGTGACTTTAAATGTTATTTTTTTGTGTTGTAGGCTGTGCAGTGCTTCTCGGCAGCAGGAGAACTGGCAAATGGCCTTCAGAAGATAATATGGGTGTTATATTTTATTTGAATGACTGTTATGACAGTCAGAATGCGTACTTTGGCCAAGTTTTAATTATTTTAATTATTAATTATTTGACTGTAGATAATATGGGTGTTATATTTTATTTGAATCGCTATTATGATAGTTAGTATGCGTACTTTGGCCAAGTTTAGGTTGACTTTGCTAAAATGAATTTATTGACTTATTACTATATTGTGTATTTGCTGTAGCAGTTCTCTTAATATCTTATTTTATTTTCTTAATATTAATATGTATTTATTTTCTCGTAGCAAGATTGTTCTCCACTCAACGGTTATTCACGGTCTTCACTGAGTTCTGCAATAAAGGCACAACTTATAAGGCATTGGACACATTTCAGGAGAAAGTGTCCTCTCCTTCGCATCGTGACCGGATATGACAGGTGAGGCCATCCGCACCGGAAACGGATATGCCAGGTAATTGGCTGAACAAAATAAACATAAACCAGCTTCTCTTTATGCACAGGACCAGAAAAAAAAAACTGATATTTAAAGATACAATTGTAAGAATCCACACACGTGCAACCACAAAATCCATACATTATGAAAAAGAATCTATTTTTGAGCAGCGAGGAATGGACATGAGTGTGATAAAGAAGCGCCAAAGAAACCATGGAGGAAGCCTGAAGAAGGTAATAACAACCTTAAATCAAAATAAATCTACTGGTTGCCACTTCTGTCTTTTTTTTTTTTTTTTTTTTTTGTCTCGTTCTCAGATGGACCACGTGATGTCGCCTCCACGCCAATCCCAACCAAATTCTTTTATAATTCTAAATCCAGACATCTCTAACACTGACCTTGTCCAACCCTCTCCCTCCTCTCTCTACTCGTAGCAGACAATATAAACGTTATACCAGATGTACTACAAAACCCTCTCCTCCTTCCTATTCCTCCTCTTCTCCTCTTCAGTAAAAACCTTTGTTTCTCAAGACCTCCTCATCCAAATCCACTTCAGAACCATTTGAAGGTATTAAAAACCATCTAATAAATGACACAAGAGAAGATGCACAAATTAACATGCTTACATCTCACCCATCTTCTAATTTCTCTGCTTCCATTTCCTCTACACTCGAGAGAGAGAGAGAGAGAGAGAGAGAGAGAGAGAGAGAGAGAGAGAGAGAGAGAGAGAGAGAGAGAGAGAGAGAGAGAGAGAGAGAGAGAGAGATAGAGAGAGAGGGAGAGACTAGAAATGCACAATATAATTAATATATTTACTTTCTCATGCCCCCCCCCCCCCCTTTACTCTATATACTGAATATTTTCCGTAACTTGCCGCAACTTGGCCTCGAAATCCAGAGCCACTAAATAGAAGCAAAATAACTTGTTTACTTAAAACAAAGTTTCACATAAAAATCCTTCACTAAAATCGATATTTTCTATAAAAAGTTGCAGTTTTTTCACAGACTTCAACAAGTTTGACATCGCTTAAAAGCCTAGGTTAGCCTGACCTAAACTTAGTTGCCATGTACATAAATTTACATTTACTTTCAAAATAATGATTCTGAAGATTTTTCTTATCTCGTCCACCCTATAGTTTGCACAAGCCATGTTTATTCTTAAGGCCGTGTCACACTAGCACTTTTTCCTTCAATTTTTTTTGACAATTTTATTTAACATAAATACAAACATTCTCGAATATAGCTCTTGATTTGACTTTGCTTAGCTGAAAAAGTTGACGGAAACGATCATTATCGTCTGACTAGAAAATCGACAATTCGCTCAAAAATTGACAAAATTTCAGAAAATTGTCGAAAAAATTGACGGAAAAATTGCTAGTGTGACAGTACCTTTAATATGGTTGTCTTCGGGCCAGGCATAGAAAATGATATGATCAAAAAACAAATATATAAACTGATAGGTAAAATAAAATTGAGAGAGATATGCACAGCAGTTTATATATTTTGCTCTCTCATGTTCTCTCTGTCTCCTCTTTCTCTCTATACTATTAATATTTGCCGTAACAGACTAAAAAATTCCAGTCACGCTGTTTCCTCCTGCAGACTAAAAATATTACGAATTATAAAGCAAATTTTTTTTTTTTTTTTTTTTTTTGCTGAAAACTTGAAAATTCACTTGTAAGAATCATTCACTGAAACTGACATTTTCTTAATAAGAAGCGATTACAATATTTTCACAGTCTTGGACAAGTTGTGACGTAGCTTAGCCTAAATCAGTCCAACCTAAACTTGGATGCCATGTCAGCTTCAATACTCACTGTGTTCACTTGAGCTTTTCTGCACGTTGTTCTTCGCCTAGAACGCCCAGGGTGAACGGCTGCGCAATGCACCTATCAGCTGAGTATCATAAACAAACTGCCATTACCACTGAGTCTTGAGAGAGTGGAAATATCTGATTGTGAATGCAACAAGGGCTCGAAACTTGTAGACGACATCTATATCACACAACAATTACATTTAAAGATAGATTAAAGACAGAACGGGGAAAATAAAATGCATGTTGCTGTTCCAACAGATCTACTTTTGAAGCTTTAGGTTGGCGGACATTTTGGTTGTTTCCGAGCGAGACGAAGCGAACTACCTCCAACTTTCGCTCGTTCGCCACTCAGTGCCTCGCGGAACGTTTGTCCTTCCTTTCCTCTCTCCCCTCTTCTTTTCCTC